ACACTAGATCATCACTGTTGAATTTAAACACGAAAAATAAAATTTTATGAAATGAAATGAAATTATACAATTTTGATCACCACTATCCAATATCAATATTTTATTTACCCAAAGGCGAAATGAAATTTTCTCATTCCAACAAAATACACATGTGGTATTTGACTTTCCCTACTCTCTCTCTCTCTTACCCCACAAATAGCACTTCACCCTCTTTCCACTCTCTGTTTCTCTCGTCCTGTTTCTTTGTACATGATACATACACAATACACACAACTAAACATATATTTATAGTAGGCAATGTCGTTGGAAGAGCATTCATCAAAATTCTAGATAACTCTATGAATCGATTATAAGAATTCTCATGGAGGACTCTAGAATGGTGGTGGTAACATCCAAGAGAATTCTCCATATTTTTCTCACAATAATTGCTTGTGGATTAAGGAATTTCAACAATTTAGAAGCTTCAATGTAAGGTGGTGATGATCTTCTATTACCAATCCTCTCAAATGGCCAGCCGAGTCTACAATAAAAAATCACTCATCGACATTATGACTTATCAAAATCAACTGCAGAAACGATAAGGAGGCTGAAATTGAATAGAATGGGTTTTGATTTTCCAAGGAAAGGGAACAAGGGAAGAGTTTTGATTTTTCAATTTGGATATTGAGTTCTTCTTCTCGGTTCTACAGACTTCAAAGGAAAAGGGGGCTGAAGGCTTACCCAAAAAAAAAAAATCAATTTTTGAAGTTGGTGGGTCACGTGACCCACTAGGACCTACTGTGGGTCCATCTCTATAAAGGTATATTTTTGACCGACTTTCTCTTAGAGATGTATTAGTTGTCCATGATAACAATGTCAGTATATACACTCGTTCTCATCAATCTCTCTCTTTCTATCTGCTTTGTCTCAAACAACTTTCCTATAGAACAAACTGTGGACGTTGGTGCAAAATGTCCTTGTGAATCACCTCATAAGACCTAACCAATCGTCGTGAAAAGCTAGGATCGCTCACTATCCTTTCTTATCTACAATTTTAACATTTACTTTGGTCTAATGCTAAAACATTTAAACCTAGTGTTATCTCAAAGAAGAAAATAGAAAAACATGAAGAAAGTAGATGAAAAATAGAAGAAGTTTAGTATGGGTACCTAGGCTAGAAAAGCTTTTATCTTCACGAAACTGTTGTCATTATTCGCTATGACATGGCTGGAGATTGGATAGGGCCTTAATGTGGTTGAAATCTTTGAAGTGTAGGAAGTCCCAGAACAGATACAAAACATTCCTTCCATAGGTTGGTGAAAAACCCAAACATTATATCCCTGAAATCAATTTATGACTTTGATCACCTAAGCAATTTGAAACCCTTGGGCGTGCAAAAGGCACCAAAACTCAAATTGAAAAGAATAATGCTATTTAACATCACGCATATCAAGCATCAGTTTATATGACAACTAAATTTCATCAAATGATAAATTTACTTAAATGTAATGTTACTTAACTATTGAACCTATTAAGTGTTGTTGGGAATCTACTTATCATCCATAGCGAAAAATTTAAACAGATTTCAATTCCCACCATGGATCCTTTTGTGTTTAGATAGAAACTGTGATAGAAATTGTAACTTTTACGAGATTTGCAAACTCATTTGCTGTTTTTTCGTTCCAACGATCTTAGTTTGATATCCAAAGCTGTCCAATTGTCTAGCATCTAATAGAAATCCACACAGGCACCAAGGTTTTCTCCTGTTGTGCTAACAAGAATCAATTTTCTAAGAATTACAAACCCTAGTCACTTATTTATATAAACCTAAACGGACTTAGCCTGACCTGGTCTAAAATTTAATTAACCCAATTAATTAAATTCGGTCCGTGAATTAATTAATTCAATTAATTAATTTGAGCCTATAAATAAACAACCCAATTAATTAATTTATCCAACGCTTGTTAAATTAATTAATTGACAAATCACAATCTTCCAATTCTCCGTTTGTGTGCGACCCATCAGGTTCTCGATCACGATACCTAACGATGTCAATTATTTTTTTGATCTAATCAAAATCGATAAATTAAAACACCCTTTTAATTTATCACCAATTCACGTTCGCCGTCTCGGATTGACATCTAGCAATGTGTCAGTGCAATATATGTGACTAAAAATGTCATGTGATATGACAAAATCAAACTCATTCGTTTACCATGAAACTATATTCCCTTCGTCAATATGATCCGATCAATTACGAGATATGGATAAGTGTCAATCTCAATTATCGATTATATTTTTCATTCCATTATTCAGTCAATATAAATCGAAAACTCCTTTTCAACTTATGAGTACACCTTGGCCAAGGATTTTATTATCGACTTAACTGAATAAAATGTAGATCATAATAACTTATTATCTAAGAGTGACGAATCATCTATTGGTCATTCACAACCTTCATATGATTCTTGAGATACCCGAATGACACCGTATTAATGGCCTTAGCAGAGCAACATTTAACACCGCCAAAGTATGACTGTCGTCATATAAGGTGTAACGCCTCGAATTCTAATAACCCGAAACGTTACGAAACATGAATATACCTTGAAATAAACAGTTTTAATATAACGAGAAATTCTATAAAAGATTGAATAACATTTAATCAAAAGATAAATTTAAATATGTGGAACGTTTGAAAACATATCATTTATCCAAAAATTATTAGAACAGTTAAAACTAATTGAAAATTTATAATGCACTCACAATTGGGTCAAAAATGAATAACCCATTATTAGTTCTAGTGTTTTTGAAAATTAAAATACTTCATGACGAGGATCCGTTGGTCCAATAGCAAATCCATCCACCGCCGTCCAGCATACTAATTATCACCTAAAAATTGTAAATAAGGGGATGAGTATAACGAATTGTACTCAATGAGATACTTGCTACTCCACATTCAAGTCAAACATGAAATTACAAATAAATTATCTTACCAACATAACATGAGAATTATCACACCATGACAAATGATAATTCTAGCAAGCGCTGCAAAATAACGTGAAGGCTAAATTGTGCCTTGAAAATAACATGAAGGCTAAATTGTGCCTTAAAATGTATCATGATTTCTCCTGAAGGAGCCTGAATTGAAGTAATTAAATTCATAATAACGTATTTGAAAAGATGTGGAAAAACCACTAATAGCACTAAGTATCTCACCTTTTGAAAATGAAAGTGGAGAATAAAATTGCAGAAATGTGATTGCAATTCCAAAGCCTTAAAAATCTAAATAATATAGAGGAATATTTTAAAGAGGGAGAGGTAATGGACGTGTAGTAGAATGTGGTTTTAGTGCTCTATTTATACTGTTGAGGTCGGGTAATCACGTGGGGGAAGTGGAATTTCAGCCATATTTAAATTCGTATTTCATGCAATTTTCTGAGAAATTGATTCATAATTCCCGATTGATATAGTATGACTGGAGATTAATTATTGGTTTTCTGCCAATTTCTATATCAATTACAATTACAACAAGGAAATGATAAGTATTACACTGCATGACTTTTACATGTGGACAGGGAAAACAAATCTGCCTCCTATTTGCATAATTTACTCTAATACAAACATCTTAAATTGTCAATCTCCTAATGGCCGAAAATTATAAAATATATGCTTATTAATTAAATTAGAATTTCAATCCAATCTTCCCAAAATTTGTTCCAATTAAAATGACCTTTCCATGTTGCATTAACACACATCCCAAACCTTTTTTAGAAGCATCGCTGTATATAACAAAACCTTCGGAACCATCTGGTATTGTTAATACTGGTGCTGAAACCAATCTTTGCTTCAATTCTTGAAAACTGCTTTCACACTTAGCCGACCATTGAAACTTTACTCCCTTTCTAGTTAATTGTGTCAGTGGTCCAGCCATCTTAGAAAATCCTTCAATAAATCTCCGGTAATAGCCAGCTAGACCCAAGAAACTACGAACTTCGAAAACTAGTGGTGGCAGTCAACTGGCGAAAAATCTAATCCTTTAAAACTCTTATAACCATAATATCCTTTAGATGGCTAAAACTCGGGTTTAACTTGACCAAATTAAATTTTTCTTGAGTCCATAATTCGCCATTTATTATGAGCTTCAAAATTAGCCCAATATTGTTATTGGTAGAGTAATTCTAACTCCTTCAATAGTTAACTATTTGACCCATTTAATAAAGTATAAAATTATTTGATATTTTTTTTTTTCAATTTGGTCCCTCAACTAATAAGATAACTATAGAGATAATCAATTAACTTGCATAAGAACTTAACTCTTAGAAAATCCTTCAATAAATCTCCGGTAATAGCTAGCTAGACCTAAGAAACTACGAACTTCGCGTACATTGGTCGGTCTAGACCAATTTGTTACAACTTCAACTTTAGCTGGGTCTACCTCAAATCCTTGCGCAGTAACCACATGACCAAGAAAGTCAATACGATCTAGCCAGAATTCACATTTTTTTGAATTTGGCGTACAACTTCTCTTTTCGAAGCGTATTTAATACACTCTCAATTGCTCTTCATGTTGTTGCTTATCCTTTGAGTATACCAGTATATCATCGATGAAGACTATAATGAATCGATCTAGGTATTGATGAAAAACATGATTCATTAAGTCCATAAACACAGCTGGTGCAATGGTTAACCCAAATGGCATCACTGTGAACTCATGGTGCCCGTACCGCGTTCTAAAAGCTGTTTTTGGGATTCTATAACCTACCCTCCTTAAAATAATTTCGTCCTCGAAATTTACCTTAGATTAGTTGAAAAGTTCGGGATACTTGATTTTCATCTCATTGGTGATAACCTGATCTCAAATCTATTTTTGAGAACACCGTTGTACCCTTCAATTGATCAAAAAGATCATCTATCCTTGGGAGTGGATATTTGTTTTTTATAGTCAAATGATTAATATCTCTATAATCAATACACATCCTCATTGACCCATCTTTCTTTTTAACAAACAATACCGGCGCTCCCTATGGGGATACACTAGGTCGGATGAAACCCTTATCCAATAATTCTTGTAGTTGTGCCTTCAACTCCTGTAATTCTTTTGGTGCCATTCTATAAGGAGCCTTAGATATTGGTGTTGCCCCAGGGGTCAAGTCAATTGTGAACTCTACTTGCCTATCAGGCGGTATACCAGGTAGATCTTCAGGAAAAACATCCACGAACTCATTTACTACAGGTACATCTTCTATTTTCCTTTCGGACTGGGGTTTACTATTTATATTCAATAAAAATCCTCGACACGTATTCTTCCTCAACATCTTTTCTGCTTTCATTGCAGATATCAATCAGGGTAGATTCCTAATTCTTGCTCTAAGGAATCGAAATTTTTCTTCTCTAGGTTTTTGAAATAAGACTTCATTCTTATGGCATACGATAGTTGCATAGTTTCTACCCAACCAGTCCATACCCAAAATTACATCAAAGTCATTCATTCCCAAGATGTACAAATCTGCCTTTAGTACTTTTCCTTCAATCTCTAACTTAACACCTTTAATCATTTGATCAGTATTAATGACTTCGCCCGAGGGTGTACTAACTTCTAGAATGTTATTTGTTTCTACGCATTTACTTCCAATCTTATCCATAAAAATTGTAGAAATAAATGAATGAGTCGATCTAGAATCCATAAGAACAATAGCAGGTATGTCGAATACTGGTAACATACCTATTATTACATCTGTGTTTTGATCCTCATTTTCTCCCATCAAAGCAAATACTCTGGCCTTTCCCTTCTTAAGATGGTCACCTTATTTCTTCTTCTCTGAACATTCTCTAAGGAAATGGCCACTTTTACCACAAATGTAGCATAATCCCTTTCCTTGAAGACATTCTCCCAAGTGTCGCTTGTTGCATTTGGAGCATTGAGGAAAAGTTTTATTTGAGCTTGACAAAATCTTTACTTTCTGATTCTGATTCCTGTCTTTGTCGTGACCTTGCCACTTTCTCTTTACAGAAGTCTCGGTGTTGGGTTGAGGTTTCTTTTCCAATCCTAAACCATTAGAAATTGCTTGTGCTCGACGTACAACTTCTGCATAAGTAGTATGTTGCTGGGCTGCCATGATTCCCTTAATCTCTGGCTTTAACCCCATTTCAAAACTTTTAGTCTTCGTCAGCTCAGTGTTTACCATGTGTGGAGCATATCTAGAAAGCTGTTCAAATTTTCTTTCATACTCTCCAAGTGGCAAATTTTGCTTACGTGAGTTGGAGAAATTCTACCTCCTTTTGATCCCTCAATGGCTGGGGAAAATATTTATCCATCAACGACTCCTTGAATTGACCCCAAGTGAGATTACATAGTTGTTCTGCAGTTTTAGTACGTGTTTCGGAATCCCACCAATGTCCAGCATCGTTAGTCAACATGAACTTTGCACATGAAACCTTTTGAGCGTCGCTACAATTCATGTGCTCGAAGATCCCTTCAAGTCTTCTCAGCCACTCCTCAGTTGTGAAAGGGTCACCTTTACCATCAAAGGACGGGGGTTTAAAACGACGAAACTGCTCAACGATCGAGCTCATGGTGTTAGCACCTCTTGTTACATTACTAGGTGCCACCTGAGCCTGCTGCCTGCCCAAGTCTTGCACTGCCCTCAATAAATCTCTGAACATAGTAGCTTGATCTTGTTGATGTCTTGCCATTTCCTTTAAGTAAAAAGTAATCTATCTTAAGAACTATTTAACCATGCTACATTCTTCCTATAGATCTTTCTAAGCCATGTCTGTCGTGTATATTATGCTAAGGCCAAAAGTTACGCATTAAGGTTTTAGTCATATGATAATCGTATCATTAATCGTATGATATGATTAATTGGCATTCTACTTTTGAATAAAATGATGCATAAGGAAAAGCTCATGAGATTATACAACTAATTAGCATGCATGAAAATATAAAAATATTCTTCAACTTTGCATACCTTAACAATATTGGACAGTGGCAGATTGATGAGCATTGGATTCCACGGATCTCGTAACTTATTATTGTTATGTATATAAATTTTGTAAAATGGATTTTTTTTTAAAAAAAATTCTAAAATGAAAGGATTTTCATAAAATTTGAAGTGGGTCTAAAACATTGTTTTCGTCTTATCGATTTGAATAACGCGCAACTAAAGAGGCTTCCAGGTGAGGAGGGGAGTCACATGGACCGCTTAAATCCCAAGCTTGCCTTAGACAGTTTAGGTCTTTTTGACAAAGCCTTTTAGTTTTACGAATACGCAAATCAAGAAAACTCGAACAATGAATTCCCCCTAAAAGATTAAATATGTATAGCCCCTTTTTTTTTTTGAAAAAAAAATTGTTAATAACAACAATACGAAGGTAGAGTCAATCATGTGGTCATTTCATAAATTTATGGATAAAAAGTCCAAACAATCCTATTCTACATTTATTTTAATTTCAATCGAAGAAAGAAGGCAGAAATTTTGGTGTGTGACATTTCATTATAGTAAATAAATCCTTATCCAAAAAAATTATAGTAAATGAGTAAACAAATAATCATGTCCAAGAATAAACAAATAAACACGTTTGGACAACTATAGGCACATAACCCCATTTTATATTACGTGAAACAAAATTTCACAAAATCCCATTTAACTTTACTATTCCCGCGTCATTGTTCATCCGTGAACAGTGACTTACCTTTTTTTTTTTTTTTTTTTTATACACGAGAGTAGTGATGGTCACTGCACTGCACCAAACAAAACCAAAATAATAGTGACACAATTTGGATGGAGGTCACTGTTCACAATATTATTTTATCATTATTATTATTTTTAAAAAAATATATAATCTCAACGTGGAAATTGGAAGAAGTAAAATTTACTTAAAATGAAATTCCTTACAATATCTAGGCAGCGAAAAATATTTCATGCATTCGAAACTATTCACATAAAACAACATTTTTTTTTTGAAAATTTTAAGTCTATAGGATCGATTTTAGAACACTTAGCTCTGATACCATTATGTAACGCCCCGAATTCTAATAACCCGAAACGTTACGAAACATGAATATACCTTGAAATAAACAGTTTTAATATAACGAGAAATTTTGTAAAAGATTGAATAACATTTAATCAAAAGATAAATTTAAATATGCAGAACGTTTGAAAACATATCATTCATCCAAAAATTATTAGAACAGTTAAAACTAATTGAAAATTTATAATGCACTCACAATTGGGTCAAAAATGAATAACCCATTATTAGTTCTAGT